GTAAGCCTGATGATACGCGGGGCAACTTTTTGAGCAATGCTGCCGTCAAAAGTGCCCAAGAAATATTTCTCAAAAAAAGTTGCCGGGCAAAATTGCTCAAAAAGTTGCCCTGTGTATCATCAGCCTAAGTTGATCGTAGCTCCATTGGTTTCAAAATGGGTCGATGAACTTAAAGGTGCTGTATGTAAGTTTTTGACTCTACTAAAGCATAAAAATACCATAATATGTTTGCAGATATTTCAGAAACATGCTAAGTTAAAGCTGCAGTCCGTAAGTTTTGCCTCTTTGTCGCCATCTCTGTTTGAAAACCTGGAATTGCAGTTACTTGCGGAATTATCTATGAGTTTATTTAGACTTACTGAGGTTCTACACTGACATGTTAAAACAATCTAGGCTGCATTTCCCAAAAGCATCGTAAGCCTGATGAACTTTTTGAGCAATGCTGCCGTCAAAAGTGGCCAAGAAATATTTCTCAAAAAAAGTTGCCGGGCAAAATTGCTCAAAAAGTTGCCCTGTGTATCATCAGCCTAAGTTGATCGTAGCTCCATTGGTTTCAAAATGGGTCGATGAACTTAAAGGTGCTGTATGTAAGTTTTTGACTCTACTAAAGCATAAAAATACCATAATATGTTTGCAGATATTTCAGAAACATGCTAAGTTAAAGCTGCAGTCCGTAAGTTTTGCCTCTTTGTCGCCATCTCTGTTTGAAAACCTGGAATTGCAGTTACTTGCGGAATTATCTCCTTTGCGTGGGTTGTACTCTGGCACGGCTCCAGCGCGGATTAATCTAATGTTTTGAGTAGTATGTGTGGCAGTCAGTCACTGCACCGGTGTGAATCCTATATTTAGTAATCACAGATTCTAGCTTAGGAATATATGACCCAAATAAGAATTTTCACCGCATATTGTCATCTGAACAAGTAAGTAACAAGTTTGCCACATTTGTTCTGACCAACTGAGGAAAAAAGCATTACAATAAATCGTGCTACCAATGGTGATTTAATCTAACGATCGATTAGCTGATTTCCCATCAAACCATGCAAATGATTATTGTTATACTTTATTCTCAGATTATTAATGTTAACAACATCGAAATTCTTTTAACCCAAAAAGCTAATTATGCTCCCTTCGAACTGGTTTTCTTTAAAATACAAATCTTTGTAATCCCAGGCTATCTGTAATCAGAAGCACATTTAAAACTGGAATATATCATTTAATTTCATTCACATGTGTTTCATATAATACTTTCTGGATTACAATCCGCCATCCAAATGATTTTTCTAACGATCTGCTACCTGCAGGATCCTCACATGCCATAGCCTAGTAGCCGGGACAACTTCTTTATGTTTACAGAAGTGACGTAATGACGCAGCAGCATGCTCGAATTTCCCGCGAAAACCTACCCGTACCACTCAAATTAGAAAACATTATTATAAGCTAACCCTTGTGAATCGGGCTAAAGTAAGGCGATAGTTTTGAACACTGGCTGGTTATGTACTTGCTCAAATATTGATTTTGAATTTTTAACCAAAAAAAGTTACGGACTGCAGCTTTAATACTTGTTTATCTGAAAAACAATGCTACAGTCAATTATTCTCCTTTGAAAATGTGCGTTCCGGGCCAGTGTCGCCGAAAATTGATCATCTGCCGAAAACTGATTGCTGTCCGCGTCCCTCCGTTTTACACTTGCCAAAAAGTGATTACAGACTCTACTTATTGAGTGAACTGCTATCTCTGCCTCAAAATGACTTGATTTCATTCGTGGTTGTTATATTTGACAGATTATAGCTAATTCAGTCCTTTTTACCTGTTGAAATACTTTTTGACAACAACCATGAATGAAATCAAGTCATTTTGAGGCAGAAAGAACAGTTCACTTTTTGGCAAGTGTAAAACTGCATTTTATGGGTTTTATTGGCCATTTAAAGCTATTTCAACGGGTTAAAAGGACTGAATGAGCTACAATCTATCAAATATAACAACAATGAATGAAATCAAGTCATTTTGAGGCAGAAAGAACAGTTCACTCAATAAGTAGAGTCTGTAATCACTTTTTGGCAAGTGTAAAACTAACCGACGTGGACGGCAATCAGTTTCCGGCAGACGATCGATTTTCGGACACCGGAATGTCGGTCTCTGTTTTGGTTTGTGAAACCCGCCCATTGCCAGTTTACCCAATTGTATTTCGTCACCCCGGGTTGCCAGTTGGCGGAAAACAGAGAGTATTTCATTTCATTCATCATCAAGCGCGCTCGTTCCTGTTGGTGTCGTCAATCTGGCAACCTGCGTGTGCGTCAAGTCTGAGGAGGAGGGGCCGGGTGAAAAAAACCCTCTCCAATATTTTGAATTTGGACTGCAATACCTAGTTCAACCACTCGGTGTCAATCCTACATACAGCACCTTTAAGCTTACGATTCTTTTGGGAAATGCAGCCCTGTACATTTGATTGGGAAGTAGACCCATTAATGGCTGTACATTTTGAAAAGAAAAATGAAGATAAACGGATGGCGAGCGTGACTTCACACATCATGTTCCTGGATACAGGGAATAGTTTACGTGCAAAATAAGGAGGGTAGGTGCATAGTGAATAGTACGTTTACACTGGAGAATCCAAAAAGGAAAAGTGTACTCTAAATGCCCCAATGATGCACTTAATTAATCAAAAATGGAAGTGCTGAATGTTGGACACTTAATGCACTCAACTGGCACAGCTTTTCTTATGTAGTGGAGGGGCTATCAGACTCAGATGCTAGATGAAGAAAAAAACTGGATGTTTGAGTACAAATTCATAGGCTAAGTGCATAGTGTAGCCTATAATATGACATTTGGAACCGCAACTTATATCAGTGCACAGCTCCAGAGCAGTTCTGTTATGTCAGGTAGGCCTGCTACGTTCTATCAGACGAGTAAACAGACAGACAGTTTTTCTTGATTGCTAGCACACTATAACTGGTTTGGCCCGATTTCCCAAACCATTCAATCATGTAATTCATTCATAATTACAGTACACAATATAATTGTGACGAGAGGGCCGCGGGGCCGAGAGCCGTGGGAACGGAGCGAGGCCGGTGGAGTAAATGCACCTGCGCCACTCACCGGTCTCGAGTCCCACGGAGGAGCTCCGGAAGGATAAAAGGAGGAGTGATGACAGTGTTGGACGAGAGAGGACCAGGCCTGGATTTTATTTTGTGTTTTGGTTCTGTTTGTACATTGGTGCCGAAACCCAGGAAAGCCTGGTCCTCTCTTCTTCACCTCCAGCAACCTGTCACTCACATGAGATTGCAACAATTAACAATCGACAAAGATCCAATGATCGAATCAGCTGATGACATCAAGTCACACCCTACATTTGAGTCAACAACAAAACTGAAAGACAGGTGTGCCTCCTTGACAACAAAACCGCACATCATTGTATTGACTGTCTTCATTTATGCAACACAAAAGCATAAAAGATTAGGCAGAACAAACAAGCTTTCATCATTTAATGAAATTAGAGTTAACATTAAAACATTGGTAACAGTTAACATTAAAATTATTTTTTTGTTTGTTTTTGTTTTGTTATTGTTATTGATAAACATTTATGTTTAGAAAGGGAATGTAATGATAAGTTAATGTCATACCGGTGGGTGGCAGAATAAGCCAATGTCAACGGCAGAGTCTCCGTGGGCAAAACTGGAAATGTGATATTCTACACCCGATCTCAAAGCGGCTACAGACGGTTGTGTAAGGCACTTTGTCCATCCCTCAAGGGAGTCTAATATTATGACTATCAAATTAGGTTACAAAAAAAATTTCTGTCCTTAAATGTGCTAAATAAAAGCATGTGTTTTGGCATACAACTGTGATATGAATAATAGCGGGGATCAATATTGTTTTGTTTGTTTGTGTGTGTGTTTATTGGATGAAATTGAATCTATCTCAGATTTAATGTTAGATCTGAAAACTTAGCTGGGTAGAAAAAAGACTTGCCGTGAGTGTGTAGTGCTTGGTTCAAGAATACAAAAAAATGTTTTGAATCATTTGAATCGTGGGAGTGACTACAGAATTGCGCACACCTCAATAACCACTTCCTGTAACACTTTTAGTGTGATAAACATAAAATGTTAAAATGTGTTCCAGAATAAAAGGGTTTTTCTAATAGTATATATGCATATCTTATGAAATCTTTTTATTTGGTTAGTCATAAATACATTGTGCCCATGCTTGTTAATGAAAAGTGGGTTTGCCGTAGAGAAAATTATTCATTTTTAACATGTGGGCATATTGTGTTTTTGTTTGTGGACTTTTGCTCCAGTAGTATTTGTAAGATGTATAAAGCCTTTCTAACAGACAGAGGGAGAATGTTCAGAGGTGGTTGAGAATTGCAGCATATTAATGGCATGGAACTACTTCTGCTAAAAAGCGTATAAATTTGTCTATGGTAAACTTGGTACGTATGCTGCTACAACAGAAATGATAAAATTATAATAATAAATGAATAAATTATAAAGGACTTGTGCTGAAATTCTTTTTTTTTTTTTTTTTAGTTCCCTTTGAACTGTCTAAAGTCATTTCAGCTTGGATGGATACACGACCTTGTTTTACAAATACAGTTTGAAGGGGTGAAACTTTGAGATAAATATTAAAAGATATTTTGACATTGGGTTTAAATTTAAATGAAACCGGTTAATGTACAATTTCTTCAGTGGTCTTACAACTGGTGGCACATAAGAGGACATCAGGCCACATGAGAATTCAGAATCATGCAAACGCACCACAACAGCACTTCTTTTTTTCAGTTTCAGTTCTCTCTCTTCTCAACACTACTAAACCCTACTTCAAATACTGCTTCTAAACGAATTTTTTAAAAATGTAATACTGTATCTGTAATACTGTAACTTTATGAAAATTACCCCTCAACTTCTAAACAGTTTAACTACTGATACATTGTAGCTTAGATCCAAACACATTAAAGATAACAGTGAGCCAGCTTCAAAATGACAAAAAAAGTAAATACATACCCAGTTAGTGAAAAGCAAGCCAACACAAGAAGAAAGGTATTAGCATTTTGAATGTATTTCATCATTCCTGAGTTAGGTTTTGCGTCTTTAGCCACTTGAAGAACTGAATGTCTGAAAGAAGAAGAAAACAGGAAGACATAGTGGGAGGAGTGTGTTTCTGTGGGGACACATTTAATATAAGCAAACTTGCGCTGCATTCCGGTTGTTCAACTGGTTGAGCAAGGTGAAATCGATGCAGTGCTGTTTTGCATATACAAAGAACAGAATACATTATAGATCACTGAGTTCCAAGGGTGTATATCTGGTTTGAACATTGGGAGGTTGAAGTGTGGGTATATGCTTCCCAAAGTTTTTCACTTAAAAAAAAGCATTATATGCACAGAGGATAATTTCTCTCAAGTTAATTAATCTCAAGTCACTTCAATCGTTTATTCAGCCGATTCATTCAAAAATGCAGATTAATTCGGGAATAAAACAAACACCACTGATATGTTTATTTTGTTGTATTCTCCCTGAAGGTGTTAAAACCCACAATTGCTTATTAAGTTATTCTGTGTGCCTTACATGGGCCATGGTGACTTAGTAAGACCTGCTAGGTTTTTTTTTTTAATGTTGAGTGCATCATTAAATGGTTGCAAGAACTTCAATAGGTACTTTCCCTAGTCACGTCCTGTAATGTACGCATAGCACATAAAATGTATAGTTTCAGAAGACTGGGGGCTTTTTTTTCTGCATTTTGCCTTCTTCCCCTCATTGCATTCTGCAAATATTGTACTACTTTTGGGATTTTCTTTCTCTACTCTGATCTTAACAAACTTTATCTGTTAAATACAATACATTAGATGTCAATACTTAGATTAATTGGTAACACTTTAGTATAGGGACCAATTTTATTAGCATGCCTATTATTAACATATTGGCTGTTTATTAGTACTTATAAAGCACATATTCAGCATGACCATATTTTACATCCCTAATCTTACCCAATAACTAAACTTAACAACTACCTTACTAACTATTAATAAGCAGCAAATTAGAAGTTTATTGAGGAAAAAGTCATAGTTAATGGTTTGTTAATGGCGAGAATTGTATCTTAAAATAAAGTGTGACTGATTCATTTTTCTATCTGATCTTGAAACTTATTTGCTATTACAGTTTAAACATTTACTTGATTCATTTGTTATCACTATAATTTTACATTTTAATAAACTTAGTTTTTTCCCTTATTTGAATTTGATCTCTGATAGAATTATTGCTCTTCTGCCGGGATCTCATTGCATCACTGGTGAAAACAGACAATATTGTGTCTAAAATGTACACTCTTAAAAATAAAGGTGCTTGAAAGGTTCTTCACAGCCATGCCATATAAAAAACATTTTTGGTTCCACAAAGAACCATTCAGTCAAAGGTTATTTAAAGAACCATCTCTTTCATACCTTTTATAATCTAAAGAACCTTCTTTCGCCACAAAGAACCTTTTGTGAAACAGAAAGGTTCTTCAGATGTTAAAGGTTCCTTATGGAACCGTTTAGACAAAAAAGGTTCTTCTATGGCATCCTGAAGCACCTTTATTTTTAAGAGTGTAGGCTTCTGTTTTGTTGGCAGTCAGAGCTCAAGTGCTCGTCACTCTGTAGCTCTGCCCACGGCGCGCCTCCAGGAGCTCGGCTTTTTCCGGAGAGAATCGTAAAGCTGTATCTTTCTTTTATAAATATGATAAAACTAAAGACTTTTTGGAGATATTAAGGATGCAGTACTACTCTATAGGTATTCAAGATTAACATGAGATTGGGTGAAACTGTGTGTGTTATGCCCCCTTTAAGCTTCCGTTTTTGTGGTAGCTCTGTATATTTCTATAGCATTGCTGTCAAGTAATTAGCTGGTGTGGTGAAGTGGGTTTACTTACTGTAGAGTTAACGAAAGTTACCATGAGAACGAAAGTGGCATAATAAATGTCAGTAGACCAGGAAGATCGGTTCATTAATAAATTCTTAGTTCACCTAAAAATTAAAATTCTGTCATTAATTACTCACCTCATGTCGTTCCAAACCCGTAAGACCTTTGTTCATCCTCGGAACACAAATTAAGATATTTTTGATGAAATCTGAGCGCTCTCCGACCCTCCCATAGACAGCAACGATATTACCATGATCAACGCACAGAAATGTAGCAAGGGCATCTGTAAAATAGTCCATGTGACATCAGGGGTTCAACCGTAATCAGCTTTGTTTATGTTCAGCATGCGCACGCTTTCTACTAAAAGTAAACAACGCTGATTATGTTGATTACATTCTGTGGTACTCTCCAAAATGGTGGAAGACGGTAACTCGGGGAGAAGAATTTCTGAATAAATTATGTTATTTTTTTCTTTGCGTGCAAAAAGTATTCTCTAGCTTCATAAAATTAAGGTTGAACCCCTGATGTCACATGGACTATTTTACCGATGTCATTACTACGTTTCTGTGCGTTAATCATGGTAATATCGTTGCTGTCTATGGAGGGTCAGAGAGCTCTCAGATTTCATCAAAAATATCTTAGTTTGTGTTCCGAAAATTAAAAACTTATGGGTTTGGAACGATATGAGGATGAGTAATTAATGACAGAATTTCCATTTTTGGGTGAACTAACCCTTTAAGATCTTACCTTCAGCAGTCTCAGCGCGTACTCAAGGCTACATGATGTTGATGATTGATCCTTTGCAGGCAGTTTGATTGACAGGCGAGCTGACCAATCATAAAGCTGAATCTGCCATTTTTGTCCAATAAACTAACCAGACAGGAGAGAAGATTAACGTCGGTGGATTTAAACTTGAAAAAAATGTGTGTATTGACGTCTTTCTGCGGTTGAAACAAGATACCTTCTGATGTTCATTCGTGTTTATTTCATGCTATAACTAGTAAAAGAGAAGAGATGATCGGTTCATGTGCCGCTTGAACTGAGGCGCTAATGATCTGTCACAACACATTAACGCCGCAAAATGGTATTTATTGTTTGAATTTCTTAAAAAATGTCAAAATTTGAAAGCTGAGGCTTTGTTTCATACCAAAAGTAACCTGCTCTGTCTTGTCTGTCGGTGCATTGTCAGTTTCCTATTTGCTCTGCAATATATTTTTCACTGAGTGAGAATATGATTTGTGGCGTGAGAGCGGCATGGCTTGTCGGATATAGCAACAGTAACTAAGGGGGGCGGGGTTTTGCGACGGGTTAAATTCTATATATATATATATATATATATAGATATTATGAAATTGTTTTATTTTTTAAATTATTTTACTTATTTTTTCTTTTATTTAAGGTAGCAACATTTCTCATTTTCACTCAAGTTTAAGTAATAAAAAAATTAAAATAATACTCTTAATAAATGATCATACCGTTACTTTTATAATTAAGAGTTTCCTTAAAATAAGAGATTTTTAATTTTATTTTTTATTTAATTACATTTTATTTTTTTTAATTTAAATTATTTGTATTATTGGAGACACATACATAAAATCCATAATAATTTAAATATTTTTGGTGTAATGCATTAATTACAAATACGATGTCTTGTGGGATGCCAAAGACTCGAAAGACATGGGTCATAACCAATTCAGCAGTCTCTTTAGCGGTGGGTAGTTTGGGCAGAGGAATAAATCGGGCGGCCTTGGAGAATCTATCAACTATGACCATGATAGTGGTGTTGCCTTGTGATAGCGGAAGTCCAGTGATAAAATCCATGGAAAGGTGAGACCAAGGTCTATGAGTTATGGAGAGAGGGTGCAACAGCCCTTGAGGAGAACGGTGAGAGATTTTACTTTGGTTGCACGTGGGACATGCGTTTACAAATGTTGTCACATCCTCCTTGATGGTTGGCCACCAAAATCGTCTTTGGAGGAACTCAAGAGTGCGAGAAGTACCAGGATGACAAGTGAGACGAGAGGAGTGACCCCACTGGAGGATCTGGGAGCGGACAGCTTTTGGGACAAACAGACAGTGGGTTGGCCCCCCTCCTGGGTCAGATTCTCGGGCTTGGGCCTGTTTTACAGTATTTTCCAAATTCCACCTGATAGGAGCTATTATTTTGGAAATGGGGATAATTGATGCAATAGAATCTTCCTGAGGAGTGTTTACATATACTCGGGACAAAGCATCAGGTTTTAGGTTCGTAGAGCCGGGGCGGTAGGATAAGATGAACTGGAATCGGTTGAAGAATAAGGACAAACGTGCCAGGCGGGGGTTGAGTCGCTTTGCCTGCTGAATATATTCCAGATTTTTGTGGTCTGTGAGTACTTGGAATGGGTGTTTGGCCCCCTCAAGCCAATGCCTCCACTCTTCAAGCGCTAACTTAACTGACAGTAACTCTCGATCCCCTACATGATAGTTCCTCTCAGTTGGTGTAAGGCGGTGGGAAAGGAATGCACACGGATGCAGCTTGTTGTCCTCCCCCCTTTGGGATAACACAGCTCCAACCCCTACATCCGAAGCGTCGACCTCCACGATGAAGGGTTTATCTAGGTTAGGGAGAATGAGAATAGGTGCAGAGGTGAAATGGCTTTTTAGTCTGCTGAAAGCCAACTCTGCTTCAGGTCCTCAATAAAAACTGGTTGTGTTCCCCTTGGTGAGGGCAGATAAAGGAGATACCACAGTACTGATGTTCAGGATGAACTTGCGATAAAAATTGGCAAAGCCAAGGAAACGCGTGGTGGAGGTAGGCGGGGTTCAGTCAGAGGGGAGAGCACTCGAGAATCCGGAAGGGGTACAGAGGCAGCAGTAGGGGCAGTAGCTGAAGTAGAGGGCAGCCGGTCAAATATCTGATGGACAGAAGTCATGAGATCAGACAGCACCTGGGAGTGTTTAACCATCAAAGTCTCCTGCTGAGCTAGTGCCGACTCATGGCGTTGGACTGTGGACTCATGCTGAGCAACTGTGGCAAGAAGTTCTTGAGAATTAACAGCAGAAAGTTTACAAAAATCCTTTCCTTAATGAAAGCCACAAAACAGAAAAATCTTCAGTCCAAAAAGGATCCAAAAAGGAGAATAATAATCTCTCAAACAAAAACTCAGGAAAAAAACAAAACAGCCAACTTAAACACAGGGAAATAAGTATAGTTCTTTGAACTAGAGCAGACTTACGGCAGCAGCTGGTTAGGAACAACA